GTGAGGTGGACCTCGAATACTGGGTAATAGTGATATGAAAATCAAGAGAATGTTTGAGGACTTAACGTGTTTTAAGGTCATTTTAGAAAGACAGTTGGAAGATTAACTTCAAACTTCAAGTAAAAAATTTTAAAGGAATGTCTAAAAGAATAAACTACATAATTTCCAAGCCAAGGAGGGAAAAATAACTAACCTGAATAAAAGAAAAAAAAGTCAGAAAAGAGGGGGCAAAATAAGTATAGAAGAGGTAGGGTAAAGAGAAAGACTAAAATATCATGTTCACATAAATTTGATAAATCAGTAATAATAATAATAAATATAAATGGGCTACACTTACCAGTTAAAAGAAAAAGATCTCACATTAAATAAAAACCAAGCAAACAAATCCAGCCCCCCCCCACACACACACAATAAAAATACGGAACAATTGATGGCAAAATGAACTAAAAAGGAGAAACCAAGCAAATATTAATCAAAAGAAAGGTAGTGTAGCTATATGAAGATCAGACTAAAATAAAATTTAAGGCAAAGAGTATTGTTAGGAATAAAGGGGGTTGCCACAAAATTATTACTTTTTTAAATGTCATCAAAAGGTACAATAATTCTAAACCTGTAAGAATCTAATAATACAGATTGACTTCAAAATACATAAAGCAAAAATTGACAGACTTACTAGAATAATCAAGCTCATAATCATAAAGTGAGATTTCTAATATTCCTCTGATAAAGTGAAATTCTTTTTTTAAAAAAGATTTTATTGGAGAATTGGGGGAGGGGACCAGTGTTGGGGAACTGGGGAAGGGGACCAGCCACGCTGTCATCCCTCAATCTCAGTTGTCCCTCAATCTCAGTTGCGGAGGGCGCAGCTAGCTCAGATCCAAGTCCAGTTGTGCTGCTCAGCTCAAGGTGCTGTGTTCAGTTAGTTGCAGGTGGGCATAGCCACCATCCCATGTGGGAGTCAAACCAGCAGCCTCGTTATTAAGAGCACATGCTCTATCCACTGAGCCACCTGGGCAGCAGCTCAGCTCAAGGTGCCGAGTTGAGTCTTAGTTGCGGGTGGGGGTAGCCACCATCCCATGTGGGAGTCGAACCAGCAGCCTTGTTAAGAGCAAGCTCTCTATCCCCTGAGCCACCCGGGCAGCAGCTCAGCTCAAGGTGCCAAGCTCAGTCTTTAGTTGCGGGTGGGTGTAGCCCACCATTCAAACCAGCAGCCTTGTTGTTAGGAGCACACGCCCCCACCAGCTGAGCCCTCCTGCCACCTGCTGGCAGCTCAGCTCAGGGCGTAGTGTCACTGACTCAGGTGGGAATCAAACCAGCGACCCTGTTGCTCAGAGCTCGCACTCTTGGACAAGCTCTTAACCAACTGAGCCACTCGGCTGGCCCCAAAGTGAAATTCTTTATGGTTTCTATCTGCCTCCCTGCCAATACCTCTCTCTAGAATATAATCTAAAATGTATCAACTTTTTTGTCAACAGTGCCTGGCACATAACAGCTGCCTGATATATATACTTGTTGAGTGTTTGAATTAATCAAAATGAAAAAGGATCATAACTATGACATTGGAGAATACAATTAACAAGTATAATCTAATGGACTCTCATGGAACACTGCACTCCCCAATCAATACATTCTTCTCAAGCATACATGGAATATTTATGGAAATTCACCATGTGCTAGACCTCATTCTCTGACCACATACAATTAGGTTAGAAATCAACAATAAAACAAAAAAATTCCACACTATAGAATTTAAAACACACTTCTAAACAACTCAAAGAAATCATTAAAAAATTATGGAAACAGAAGATTGAAGGAAACAGAACTGAATGGTAATAAAAACGTTATATTTCAAAATTTGTAAGCAGCTAAGGATTACCTAGAGCAGTGGTTCTCAACCTTCCTAATGCTGTGACCCCTTAATATAGTTCCTCATGTTGTGGTGACCCTCAACCATAAAATTATTTTCGTTACTACTCTAGAACTGTAATTTTGCTACTGTTATGAATCATAATGTAAATATCTTTTTGTTTTCCGATGGTCTTAGGCGACCCTTGTGAAAGGGTCGTTTGACCTCCAAAGGGGTCGTGACCCACAGGTTGAGAACCGCTGACCTAGAGGGAAATAGATAGATAGATAGATACCTATATATATATATATATATATATATATATATATACATATATCTATATTTCTATCTATATATGTATATATGTGTGTATATATATGTGTACATACGTAAGAAAGAATAAAAATTGATGAGCTACACATAAAATTAAAAAGTTGGAGAAAAAAGACCTATAAACACAAAGAAAATACAAGGAAATCAATGAAAAAAAAGTAGAAATTATTGAAACAGATAAAACATACACAATAGAGGATCAAAAAAGTCAAAAGCAGGTTTCTTTGAAAATAGACAAAATGCTGCAAAAAGTGATTATGTTAAAAAAGGATAAGGCTTACTATTAGAAATAAAAAAGGGGTCTAATTTCAGATACAGCAGAGATCTGAAAAAATAGAACATTAAGAAATACTTGACACTAATATATTTTTAAATGAATGGATAATTTCTTAGAAAAAAAGACAGTTTGTCCAAACTGAGTCATGGAAAAAGTAGAAAACCTGAAAAATCCAGCTATACCAAACAATCAATCAATAGTTAATCCTTATTTTATACAAAGTGTTCCAAAGAATAATAAGACTTATTCCCACTTCAATAATGAAGCTAACAGAACCTTGATATGTAAACCAGACAGGGACATTGCAAAAAAGGACTTTTACGAGCCAGTCTCATTTATAAACATAGATGCAAAAGTCTAAATAAAACGATATCAAACTTAAGCCAGGAATGCATAATAAATAACAACTTATTTAATAACAACATCACAACTTAGCTAGGTTTAATCCCTAGAGATCAAGGATGGTTTAACATTAGAACATCTATTAATATATCTCACCACATAAACAGATTAAAGAAGAAAATCATACAATCTTCTCTGTAGAGGCAGAAAAAGCACTTGATAAAATTCGGCACCCATCCATGATTAAAACAGAAACAATTTCGCAACTAGAAACACAAGGGCTCTTCTTTACCTGATATCAGGTACCCATTAGAAGTACTTCACTATAAAATTATAAAATACTTGTCCTTAAAATCAGAAACAAGACAGGGATGCCCAACTGTATTTGGCATTAGACTGGAAGTCCCAGCCAGTACAAAAATAATGGAAAATAATCAAGATGTCAGAGGAAAAGGCAATGGCAAATGTGCCTGTGGATGGGACATCCTTGTCCTCGGAGGTCTCTGAGAAGAAGTTGAGTTCAATACCTGCTGAGAACTCTAGAATTCCAGAACAGCTAGACTTTTGGAAATACACAGTTTTCTTACTTTGGTGTCTTTTGTTCTCTTTAAAATCCACAGTGGCATTTCCCCTAAAAAAGATGCTCTACCACTGTCCAGTTATTTACTTTGTACCAAGCCCGCTTAAAACCTGAACTCGCAGGTTGGCCAAGGACTCAAGTTGAGTATGACCTCCTGGATGGCAGTCACACTTCCCACTCTGCGTCCCGGCCCGAAGGCGGATCAGCCAGCCCTCTGATGATCCCTAGAGGGCCACCCACTTCCCCACTGCTCTGAGGAGGATATGTCAACAGTCCCGAGCTTGGTCCTAGTGAGGATACCCTGCTGCTCTCTCCAGGGAAACCTTTTATTCTATATCATTGTCAGTGTGTGTTGTTTTGTTTTTTTCACAAGTGACTCTCAATACTAAGTCTTTTTTTTAAAAAAACTCCCATCTCAGTATTCGGTAGAGGAGTTGTATTTAATTTGCTTTCCCCTTGATTGTTTAAACGCCTTGCTCTTGTGGTTTGCCTAAGTATTTTCGTGTAATGAGTCACTCTGAGCAACTGACTGGGAATGTGGGAAGAAGGCTTCTTCGGCTATTTCGAGTCACTGTGTGACTGACCCTGGGCCAGTCCCTCAACCTAATCAAGGAACTTCATTGCTAAATAAAGATTGCAGGCGGGGAAAGGTGGGTTAAAATTAGACTCCGCCGCCTAATGAGCCCACCGCTGAATAACTGACTCATAGAAATTAATTAGCTGTTTCCCAGAACATTTCCACTTGGAAGAGCTCTCCTATGCGATCCTTACCTACTTGTTTCCCCTTTACACCTCTCTGCCCTGTCGTCTGTTACCTCTCCATTTGTGTATTTCACGTTACTGTTTCGTTTCAGTGAAGGACCATGGCGCTTTGTGGTGATCGGCCCAAAATAAAGTTCTGATATTGTAGGTGATTGGCGGTGGGGGAAAAAAGAAAGAAATGCAAGTGGAAGAAAAAGCACCCTCAGACACAGAAGTCCTGATTCAGGCTCACACTCTCCCACGGACTAACTTTCTGATCTTAAGACAGTCAACTTCCCTGAGCTACATTTTCTAATTTATAAAGTGGTAACCACACTACCCCATTTTTTTATCTCACCGGCATGTGCTACAAAAACCAGACAATGAACATGGACGGTGCTTGCAAAAACCGTAAATCACTATATACGTGTATTCCTATCGACTGGATAATTCTATTCACCAATGCAAGAATTTAGTCATAATATATATGGGACGGTCTTAAGTGCTATCCATTCATGCCAGACAGGTACTATTACGAATATAATTGAGTAATTTGTAAGTATGTAAATAATGCTTTCAGGCCAGGGAAGACTTTAAAATAACAAAATGTAGTTTTAGAACGAAAGCTTGATTTGGATGGCTGCTGCTGCACGAGCCAGGAATACAGTAACTAATACTCGAAGACCTTTCTTATTCTAACTCATTCTTTCGAATCCATAACCTGTGGTGGAAGCTAAAAATACAAACTAAATAAAAGGAAAACTGACAAGTTAATGCATTTCAAGGGGGGACCAAAGGAATGATTATAAACATGATCTATGGATCATGTAGAAATTCAAGGAAAAATCAGCCTGAAGATAGAAGGTGCTTTGTTTTCTTACCTTTGTTCTGTATTAAAAAGTGCAAAGTTGTGCTTGCTAGACATAAAGCTCTTTTCCACATCCCGGACTTTCAGGTTGTCCAAGGGGAGCATGTACTTCTTTTCTTTTTCCTAGAGAGAGAGAGAAAGGGGCGGGGGGAGCTTTAATAAAAGATATTACAGCGTGCCAATGTCAACATAGCACCCAAGCAGGCCAAGATTTGATTACAATATTTTGATGCCCTCACACACTATTTTGACACCAGCTACCCAGGAATAAAAGTTAACTGATGGATAGGAGTCTCCAATGATTCTCAACACTGGGGTCAGAGGAATGAGGGGAGGGAACATGTAGAGGAAGGAAGGGTTCAGCCATGGAGAACACACGTGTTCTTCTATCCGTTTTTCCTCATGTGGGTCCCCTTAGATGTTTTTACATGTTAGTTTGATATTAAGAATTTAGCCATCTGTTAATATTTAACAAAAATGTTCTGGTCCTAATTCAACGAGAAATGTCAGATGGATTTCATTTCATATTTTATTTGCAGCCTAAGCAGTTCTGATAGCCAGTGCTGGCAGGGGGCTGGAGGCATAAGGACCCCAAAATGAAATACCCCCTGTAAACGATGACAAAGCACAGGAAACGCTTCTTTCATTTGGGTCAGGAATAAAATGTGGGTCCAGAAAAAAAAAAAGATTCCATTACATGTTGAGTGCTTTGAGAAAAAAAAAAAAAAGAACCCATTAGAAGTGGACTGATATTCACTAGAACAAATACTCTTTAAAAATGAACAATTCTTTAGGAAGAACATGGACATTAGAGAGGGGAGGTCTGTACATGGGACCAAACTGGTCTTAGTAAAAACATACTGGACGCCAAGGAATTACTAGAAACATTTACTTTTATGTACTGGCCCAGGGGCAATGTTATCAAATGTATAAATGCTTAACGGCCTGTCTAGTAGGAGTGAGCCAGACACTCAGCTTGGGAAACCTACTCAAGATCTATTACTGGGGCATTTGAGCACCGGTCCCTATTAAACAGTAGCTCCCTGTATGGTCCCAGCCTCCACCTCTGCAGCTAGTCCTGACAAAAAACAGGGCTGGCCTCTGGAGGAGGGGAGCTTAGCCATGGCTTTTAATAAACAACTATTACTGTATTTCCTGCGGGGAACACACGCAGTGTACAGAATATGTCTGGCATAAGCCTTTTTGTGCCTGCAGCTCCTACAGCACTTCCTGGAGAGTTTGTGGCTGGGCTGAGTGGTGCTCCCTGGGCCAGCTGTGGAGGCCATGCTGTCTGCTCTGCATACCCATAGGCAGTTACTGAAGGGCGTGCCACTGGTGGTGCCACTTCTTACTCCTAAGTTCATCAGGAAAAAAGAAGCTGAGCAGAGCACATGAAAATAGTGAGGCAGAGAGAAATGGCTGTCCTGGCAGACAATGTCTTCAAAGATCCAAAAAAAAAAAAAACCCATAAAAGAAACTAACTGGGAGTGAGGGAAGCCTAAGAATAAACCTGAGAAAGCAAAAGTAAAGTAAGAAGAGGACAATACTTCTTGTACAAAAATTAATATTAGCCAACACGAGGATATTCTAAGTAGCAAAATACACAATTTAAGTAAATGAAGTACCACGTCTTGAAAACACTTGTCAGATGACTTTAAGACAGAATTCTAAGAGGCAAGATTGTCGAATGAATGAAAAGCTATTCAATACATAATCAGGAAAATGCTTGAGACCCAGGGAAAAAAATTTTTTTGGACGTTTTTCAATGCCCTAAATTTAAGCAGCTGGATTTTTTTAACGCACCATCCTATTCAACCTTTTGAAATGATGGATTTGCCTTTTAATGGCAAATCTGCATTTCATTGTAAAGATGGAACACAATGTCTTTGGCGGGTTTTTCTGTAGAAGAAGGTTCCCTTTGCACTGCATTCTTTAGCGTCCAGTAAAGACCCAAATCCAGCAAGTTTACGTCAGACAGTCAACGCTGGAGACATACACAGATATGCAGACAGGGGAACATGAAAAATTATTTTGTAATCAAGAGTTTTAAGGCTGACAGAGGAAGAAGAAAGGGAAGAGTCAGATTGATCTGTTTAATGAAAGTTGTAAGTCAGAGAATCAAAGGAGAGAGCATTGAAACTCTATATCATGAATATTTCTAACATCCTTGGTGCTTTGGGGAAAGAATGATACTCTGCTAAAAGAACATTTTGAATATGAAACAGCTAAAATAAACAAAAGGAACACAAGCGGATAAAGGATAAACAGAATTACAACTTTCAAGGTGCAGTGAGTCTTAGCACCAGCTTAACTGAGGCATCTGCTACATAAATTTGTTAGGTTTATTAAACTGACCAATATGGCAGCCCCCAGCCACAGGTGACTACTGAGCACTGGAAATGCAGCTAAGCGGGGATATGCTCTAAATATTAAATCCATACTGGAACTCAAAGTCTTAGCATGAGGACAACAATGCAAACTATCTCATTCTTTCAAACTGATTATGTGCTGAAATGATATTTTTAATATATTGTGGTAAATAAAGTATCACTAAACATAACTCATCTGTTTATTTTGACTGTGTTGAATGTGGCTGCTAGACAATTTAAAGTGACATGTGTGGCTCTCATAACTTACTACTGACAGCGCCGAGCCCCAGGTAGTTACCATCACTTTCTTTCCCCTCATCCATCCAAACAGTTTTTCTCTTCGGACCTCCCTGTTTCTGCCATCAGGAGGACTTTCCATTCTCGCAGTCACCCCATCTGAAACACTGCCATCCTTGCTGATGCATTGCCTCCCTTCACCTCCTTTATTACATCAAGACTACTGCGTTGTGTCTGTCGTGTCTGAAGCATTTGTCAGAGCTCCCCTGCTTGACATCCCCACTGCATTGATCTAGGTCCCTGGCATCTCACACACGGATGGTTACAAATGGCCTCCTAGCTGGTTCCCTTGCCTCCTAATTCCTCTCACATCACCAGGGAGGGCAATTTTCTAAAACTACTCTATCAAATGCATTACAGTCCTTCAAAACTTTCATAGCTCTCCGTTATTTACGGAAGGAAATCCACGAAGCTCCTTCGTGGGACATTGGAAAGCATCTCTAGATTGGTTCTGAGTTGTCGATATCTCCTCTACTCTTCATATTTCAAGCAAATGCACCTTCGCAGATGGTCTTCTCCCAATCTGAAACACCCTTCAACTTCTCCCCACCACATCAGTTTATTATTAACAGTCTAGCTCAAGTTCTTCCTTCTGTGCAAAAAGTTTTCCCAAGTTTGCAACTCTGAGTGTCTCTCTGTCACTCCCCCATCTCTCTCCTTTCAATTTATACAATAGGTATTGTTTATTCTATAATTTTGAATTATACTTTGAGATACCCTTATCTTATAAGTGCATTACATTACATTAAAAAGTTTGTGTAAAGGTTGTTCGTTTGGAGCTCAGAATGTCCAGCCAATTCTATTGTTCAGGTAGGATGCGTAAGCAAACAAAAACAAGAAAGTAGAGAATGTTTTTTGCAGTATTTGTAAAAAAAGAAAGAAAGAAAGAAAGAAAAGAAAAAGAAATAAAATTTGATATTTTAAACATTTTATCTTGAATAGACATTTTGGCAGAAGCACTTGTAATATTCTAGAAAAAGATTTTTAAGAATTTATTTTTTCCAGCTCTGTCGAGAAGTAATTGACATACATTACGGGATAAGTTTAAAACATACGGCATGATGATTTGGTTCACGCGTACTGTGAAACGGTTACCACAATAGGCTCAGTTAGCAGCCACCTTCTCATATAGATACAATAAAAAGAAAAGAAAGAAAAAAAGAGCAAAGGGAAAAAATTTTCTCCTTGTTCTGAGAACCCTTAGGATCTACTCTCTTTAACAGCTTCCCTCTAGATTGTACAGCAGCTACCTGTAGTCATCAGACTGTACATTACACCCTGAGTACGTATTTACCTTATTACTGTATGTTTATCTCTTTGGACCAGCATCCCCTGACCCCTCTCCTTCTACTCCCTGCCTCGGGCAACCACAAGTCTGATCTCTTTCTCATGAGGGTTTTTTTTTTTAGATTCCACGTAGAAGTGAGATAATACAGTATTTGTCTTTGTCTCACTTATTTCACTTAGCATAATGTTCTCAAGGTCCACCCATGTTGCTGAAAAATTTTTTTTGATTGAATAATAGTTCATTGTGTGTGTGTGTGTGTGTGTGTGTGTGTGTGTGTGTGTATCACAACTTCTTTATCTACTCATCCATCAGTGGATACTTAGGTTGTTTCCATGTCTTGGCTGTTGTAAATAACGATGCTGTCTGAACATGGGACCGCATATATCTTTTCAAGGTAGTGTTTTCATGACCTTTGGAAAGGTACCCCCTTATTGGCGGGGGATACGTTCCAAGACCTCCAGTGGATGCCTGAAACCCTGGATAACACCCAACTTTATATATGCTGTGTTTTTTCCTATACGCACATACCTGTGATAAAGTTCAATTTATAAGCAAGGCACAGTAAGAGACTAACAACAATAACAATAAAATAGAACAACTGTAACAATTCACTGTAATAAAAGTTGTGCGGTCGCTCTCTCTCCTTCCCTCTCTCTCTCTCAAAATATCTTATGGTGCTAGACTCACCCTTCTTCTGATGACAACGTGAGATGATAACCTGCCGACACAGCGAGATGAAGTGGGTGAGTGGCGTGGGCCTTGTGACGTCGCGCTAAGCATTGCTCTAAGGGTGACTTGAGCACACGCCCTGCGATGCTAAGACCGACCGTCTGATGACCAAGATGGCGACTCAGAGACTAATTGGCAGGAGCATCTACAGCGTAGAGACACGGGACAAAGGGAGGATCCACATCCCGGCAGGATGGAGGGACACAGCGCGAGAGCTCTCACCACGCCCCACGGAAGAGCGTGCAATTTGAAACGTATGAATTGTTTATTTCTGGAATTTTTCCATTTAATATTTTTGTACTGCCATTGACCTCTAGTGACTGAAACCACAGAAAGGGAAGCCACAGATAAGGGGGGGCTCCTGTGCTCCCAGAAGTGGAGTTGCTGGATCACACGGCAGTTCCATTTTTAATGTTTTGAGGATCCCCCATACGGTGAGG